CCCGCCGCGCCGGCCGCAGGTGAGCGGGGAGCGGCGCGGTGTGAACGCGCTCGCTCCGGTTCTCGGGGCCTGATCCCCCCGGCACGCGCGTGGGGAAGGGCCGGATCCGCACGTGGGAGCGGCGCGGGCCGGGGGTGGCGGCGGTGGTACGTTCCTCCCCCCCGCGCGATGGAATGGGCCGGGCCGGGGGCTCCGCTCAAGTTCATTCATAGACGCAAGGACGAAGTTCTTCTTAAAGGAGCCGCGTCCCCTTTTCTTTTCTTCTCCCCGCTTCGCTTTCTGCCCGGGAGCGGGGATCGGGGCCGCCGCGGCGGAGCCCGGAGCCTCCTGGAAGCCTCCTGCGCCCGGGCTGGGCTCCCGCAGGCCCCTGCGGCTTGGCTTGGGCATGGTAGAGGGGGGCTGCAGGCCTGGATCCCAGGGGCAAGGGCAGAATGGCTGTGGCTCCCTTGCCCCCTGCGCCCGCCGGTGCCCCGGCTAAGCACTGCCCGGGCGCTCGGACCCCCTTGCCCCCCCCAGTGTGGAGACCCAGCGCCTCCTGAGCTGCTTTCTCAGCCCCCGGAGCCTTGCAGCAAGTGGGGAAGTATCCTGGGCTCCCCACGAGGCTTTCCCCAGCCCGCTTCGGGCTCCAGGGGTCCACTGCCGGTCCCTCCCTGCCGCACTGCTCCAACTTGTGCTGCTGTCTCACGTCGGGGGGGAGCAAAGAGCCTCGGGTGCCAGGAACCTGGAAATAGCCCGACCTCTGGGCCCAGGCAGTAGCAGGCGCATGCTGCGCGGAGCAAACGCAAGGCGGAAAGTTGGGTGATGTCATTCCTACCCACGAGGTTGGTTCAGCGCTGGAAGGACTGACTGGGAGGCTGGCACCTCCGGTACTGCGAGCTTTTTCCGAGCCGGGCTTGGGAAGCTTGGGCAGGGGGTTGCTACAGGTCACTTCCAGCCCTGTCCTTGTTACGATCCCGCCTTGTGCCTGCTCTGTTCTGACTGAGCTCCTGTTTGCCCGGGCTTCGCCGCCTCCTGCACGTACAGGCACCGCTGAAGCGTCAGCTTGGTGGCAGGATCAGTTGCAGAAGGATTTGGGGGCTGCTTGCCTCTGTACCAGCCCCAGCAGCTGGCTGTCGCCCCTCCCCAAGGGAGCCCCAACTGGGAAGGGGGGATACAAACAGGGAAAGAGGGGCGCAGACTTGCGTCGCTGGGCTGAGGATTTGCACGTGCATTTCATCGGCTCTGCGATTCAACCCGACCACGCAAGCCATGGGCACCCTGCACTGCTCTCAGCTGTAGATGTGGAAGCACCGAGCCTGCATATTTGGATGCTTGTGCTTCGTTTAAACCGGCAGTGCGACGTGGCGCAGCCCGTGGGGCCGTGGCTGGGGCGGGGGGACATCATCTGGCGGTTCCCAAGCCTTTGTTCAGAGTAATAACGCTGCTTGTTCGGGGCGCATCTTGGATCGTCATCTCTCTCCACACCCGAAATGGGGAGGGAATGAAGAGCATTGGGCAGCTATCGGGTGGCAGGCTGGGTTAAGTTCAGCGGGGCATCGGTGCCATCTGTATCCAGGCTGTTGCAGCCTGCTCTGCACCCCCCTGTATTGGCATGGGCGGTTGTCCGATGAGTAGAGCTGATCACTGAGCACAGCAGGCAGGAAGGTCTAGTGGAAATGATGGGACTGTGAGAGGAGGGGACAGGGTGCGATGGCTCCAGGGTCCTTCCTGTGTTCCTACATGAGCTGTTTGGAAGCCCTGTGTCTTGCCCTGGGCTAGCAGGTCCACATTTGGTGTGTCCACAATCATGATACAGTGTTCGGGGCTTGGGGCCTTGGTAGAGGAGCCCTTTTGGCACCTCTTTCCCCTGATAGCAGGGTCCGGAGGGCTGTGATTATCCTGTTTGGTTGCACATGAACTTGAGGGAGGGGGGCGGCAGAGGTGAAGGGGATACCCTGGGGGCAGATGGACCAGCTGCTAACTGAGCTGCTGGCTTTTGCTCCCCTCACAGAAGGAAAGCAAAGGGAAGCTCTCTGTTTGCAGCAAGCTCTGCTATGCCATCGGCGGCGCTCCCTACCAGATCACCGGCTGTGCTCTGGGCTTCTTCCTCCAGATCTACCTGCTGGATGTGGCACAGGTAACCCTTCCTCGTGGGTTTGCTTGCTGGGGGTGGGGGGTCTCAAGGAATGTCTCTGAAGACAGGTGGAGGCATCTTTTTTCCCATGCGTTTCTCGTGCCTTCACCAGCTGGCGGGAGGGTGTTAGTCTCTTGCCCATGTTGAGGGGGCCCTAACTGGCCTTCTGTTTGCCCATCGGGCTGACAGCTGCTTGCTCCAAAGCAGGGCAGTGGATGCCTAGAGAGGGGCCACCAGTGACGTCTGGCTATAACTGATGGGCTCCCATCTTCCAGGGAGCGGTGTTGGGGACACGGGTGTCTCTCTGGAGGAGGACATGGCTCTCATCTCCTGCCCGCCTGGACGGAGGGAGGTGGTGTGCTGGGAGATGAGTGCGGGCTGCCCTTGGTCTCTAGGAGCTCGCTGCTGAGTCACAGACCCCCGAAGGGCATTGCCACACCGTAACACTCAGGGTTACACGAGCCAGGCTGTGGTGGAGCGGGAGACCTTGTTGTGAAACCCTTGAGGGGTGGTGGGGGGAGATGTCCCTCGACAGAGAGAGGTCTCAATGTCACAGTCATCGAGTTCAGTGCCTGGAGGGGTGTAGGTGCTGGAAATTCAGCACCTGAGACCAGAAACCCCAGCTGGTGTTTTCAAGGTGCTGGTAATTTGCCCTCCAGGAGAGAGGCATGCTTCTGATGCGATTTAGAGCCAAGCTGGCAACACTTAGCCCTGGCTTCCAAAGTCTCCATGCGTTGCGTTCCCAGCTCTGCAAAGCTTTTCACTGCTCTCCGCCTCAGTTTCCCTACCTGTAAAATGGGACCATACCACCCACCTCTGGGACTAGTTTGGGATCCTCTAATGACCATGCAGATGAGGAGGGTGGTCCTCTAGCACCTCTGGTGATAGTGAAACCAGCAGCAGGTGCTTGCATTCCTTCCTACAAGTACTGTGATGAGGGAAAGATGGCTCTCACTGGTCTTGGCTGTGTAGTACCTTCTGGGAGGAGATGGGGTGGAAGGTACTGTTGGACAAGGTGACGGCATCTCCCCCACCTATGGTCCAGCTGTGGCTGGTGGCAGGGTAGGTGATGAGTGAGAGCCGGGGTAAGCTGCGGCCGCATGCTTGGGATGTTGAGCCGATAGTCATTTCAGTGTCAGGAGCCTAATGTGCAAGGGTTCGAGTGGAACAGGCTGAAATCCTGCCGCCAGCAGCACTCGGTTTAACCCCCTAGAAAAGGGCATTGGATGGACGACTTGCCCTCTGAACTACCCCGGGGAGAGGCATGAGCGTGTCCTCCAAACAAGTCTCAACCTGACCATTGGCTCTTTGGTGACACCATTTTCCCAGGCAGACGGGGGCCTGGCCTGCTCTGGGACCACAGGGTCTCCGCCTTCTCTACAGGTGAATTCTCTCCTCTCCTCCCCATTGCAGCTGGATCCTTTCTATGCCTCCATCATCCTGTTCGTGGGCCGAGCATGGGATGCCGTCACAGACCCCATGGTGGGCTTCTTCATCAGTAAGACCTCCTGGACGCGCTTTGGACGCCTCATGCCCTGGTAAGAGAAGCCGGAGGGATTCTGGGGTTGTTTGGGCTCCATGGGGGGTTCTGGAGGCCCTTCTGGAGGCAACTTAGGCAAGGTTAGACAGTGACCGAGACGGGAGCAGATCCCGAAGCCACACCTCTGTGCGGGACGTGATGAAACGAATATAGCTGCCAGTTGAGTAATCCACAGGTGGCCCATCCGGCTGCACAAGGGTGATGAAAAAGACCCTGGAGACCAGTGGGGAACTCTGAAGCGGGACTTCCTCCGCCACGGTAGCGGGGAAACCACTTGACGTGGGGCTCGGTAAACCAAGCCACTGAGAGCACTGTGGGCCTTGCTTTCTGGGAAGCTGGCCTCATGCAGCCGAGTGAGCAGCACCGGTGTCCGTTGTGCTGTGTGTCTGGGGCGTGCAGGCTGGCGCTCTTTGGCACTGAAAGATAAGGGAGCCCGTTTCCAGCGGTGGGCATGCTGCCCTGCTAGGGGAAGCTTTCTAGCAACTCCTTTCCTCCCCAGTCTGTTAATCTAGAGGTGTTTGCTTCCCCCGGGCCCCCCTGGGGGCCACGGCTAGCTCAGAACCTCGGCCCTTGTAGCACTCGGGGTCTGACTTCTCTCGTCTGTATTGCAGTATTTGCTAGGGCAAGTGTTCGAGCACCGTGTGTGCCAGGCCTCTAGACTAGGGGCAGTGGGGTCCCAGTCAGGGCTCAGGACCCCATTGTGCCAGGTCCCAGGAAAGCTCAGGGATGCGGGGAGACTCCTAGCTGCTCTTGGTGCCTGGGGAGGTACAGGCTGGGCTGGGGGGAGCTGTGAGACATGGAAGCTGGGCAGGGGACTGGGTCTGTGGGATGTCCCCAGTCTGAGCTCCCCTGGCAGTTTCCTGCATCTCCACTCACCAGGGGAAGGGAGGTCACGTATCTGCATGCTCCCAAAAGCTTCTGGCTGTGGAAAATGGTGACTCAGATGCTCCGCTGTTTGCAGACCTGCTTGGCTCATCCACATGGTGCTGAAAGCCCCTGACAATGATCTGTGGGCCGCTGGGCTCTTCTCTTGCCCATGGGGCTGAAGCAGCCGTGGCAGGGGGTGGTCTTTGGAGCCCAGTCTTGGTGCGTGCATCCCTTGGCAGCCTGCATGTGCCAGAGGGGGTGGGGATCCTGGGGGCGTGCTGGGTGTTTGGGAGTCGCAGATCCACTTCTTCCAGGGAGACTTGAGCTTCTCCATCTGCTCCAGGAAGCTGTTTGAGGCTTGGGAAGGTGGGTGGTGGGGAAAGGGGCTGGTAGGAAACAGATGATGGGTGGAAGGCACCAACCATGGTTTCTCCTGTCCGCCCCCTGCCCTCCACTGGGCTTGGTCCTTCCGGGGACACCCGGGGGCAGCGACTGATCCGTGACCTCAAACCAGTGGAACTGAGCACCGAACCGGGCCAGCTAGCTGCCCACCAGTGCCATTGTCCCCATGGTTTACTCCTACCCATAAACTGCTGGGAATCAGGTCCTGTCTCCAGCCTGGCTTCCTTGGGAATGCCGAGAGCTGTCAGTCTCCAGCACAACAGGTGGCTTTGCAATCCTGCGCTAGGGCTAGCAGTGGGTGGGTGTGCATGGCTGATGCACAAGCTAATCCTGCAGCTGGGGGGGAAGAAGGGGGATCTGCTGGAAATCACATGACCAGCAGCTGCTCCAAGTGCATGTCTCTGGGAGGAGAAGGCCGCCGGCTGTGGGGGCTAGGCAGGGAGGCTGTCCCTTCTTCCCTCTCCACAGCAGAGCCCCCAGTGCTCCTTGAAGTGAGATGCATCCAAAAGGTGCAGGGGTGAGCAGGACCCTGCTGACCCAGGATGCTGGGGGCATGGCTACAGCATCTCCCCTCTGGGAGGCTGGTGGCTGGCAGCCATCATCTTGCAGGGAGGTCTGTGGAATGGGCTGGCAGAGGGAGACCCCCAAAGTGCCACCCACATGAAGCATTGGGGGAGGAGAGCTGCTCTCCAGCTGTTGCCCCGAGAGGGGACATCTCTGGGTGAGGATAGAGATGCAACCATAGGGCAGCATGAGGGAGGTCTAGACTGCCTCTGCCAAGCTGCTCAAGACGCAGGCTGGGTCCCCAGCCCTGTCGGGATCCCTGACGCAGTAGGTGGGGTGGAGAGGGAGAGCTGGAAATTAGAGGCACCCGCTTCTTTCACCGCAGCCGGTGATTATAGCTCTGCTCCTGGGGGTTTCCTGGAATAGCCGTCATGAAAGCTGCGGTGTTCTGCTGTGTTTAAATCAAGCTTCAGGCATGAGCCCAAAATAGTTCCTCTCCCAGATGTGTCGTCTGCAGCATCCCCCAGCCTGGGGGTTTGGCACGCTGGGCAGTGCCGTCTGGGCACACTCCAGGCTCAGCAGGCGGGGGCTGATATTCCACCCCCTAAATCGCTTTGTCCCTCGCTCGTGTGGTATAATTTTGTGGCGTTAAAGCTGGGGGTGGGGAGTAAGGCCCCGAAGGTCTCAGACCCGTGTGCTACCCACCCATTCTTGCACCGAGCCTCTGAGTTGGGGCACCCCAGCCCCTTACTGCACAGAGGGAAGCAGGGTGCTGAGCCATCAAGAGAGATGACTCCTGTTCGCAGCTTCAGTGCTGCTTGGGCTCGGCCCGCTGCTTTCCCTACACATCGCCTCCCATTGATTTCACTGGGGCCAGCTGCAGTAAGGCCCAGTGTGCCCTAAGCAAGGATGGCAGAAGTGCAGGACCTGCCTGCCTCAGTTTCCCTACTTGGCAGGGGAGTGGGGGGGTTTACACTTGCTGTTCCTGGATGCTGAGAGCTGCCCTCCGCATGGTCAGTGACAGCTGGCTCTTGTGTTCACAGTCGCCCATCACCTGGGTTCACCCACTTTTGACCCCTTAGCTCTGAAATGGTGCTGATTGCCGGCAGGTACAACCCTTACTTCTTGGGGCCTGAACTGTTCAGTCTCCTCTTAACCTAGGAACGGCGACTTCTTGGCTTGCGCCCCTGCCTGTCCGGCCGTGCCAGGCCGGTGTTGACAAAGGGCAGCGTCGTGTTCCTTGCGTCTCCTGAGCCCGGGATACACAGATGAGGCTGCAGGTTTAAAAGCTGCTCCTTTCCCCTGCTACTCTGATGTTGTTCGGTGTCTTGCTGTGCTCTGCTCCCCCGGGAATTCCCTCCTCTATCAGATCCAACCTCCCGTTCAGCCTTGCCCTGGTCTCTGACTTTCAACGCTTCCCACTTTCACTGCTCGGTGCCCCCCACCCCTCGTGGTTTCCCCTTGCAGATGACTCCAAGGTCCTGTCGTCTTGCCAGCCCACGGCAGGCACTGGGGAAGTGGCTGCTGGGGCAGGAGGAAGCCGTTAAACCATAAGGAATGGGGGTGTGTCGCGGGGAGGAACACACCACCCCGGTGCTGCCAATGGGGAGGCAGGTGGAGCGAGCGCTGAGGTCTTGGCATCAGCGGTGCCAAACCCCAGGTCATGGGTTACTACAAGTCAGACTCCTGAGAACCACGTGGCTGGGCGGAGGCGGAGGAAAGGCTGAGCCAAGCGTTAGATTCCTTAACTCAGGCAATGCACATGGCCCTGGGCTCTGGGGTGTGCCTGCACCAGCAGGTCCCCTCGCGGGAGCCCGAGCCCCTGCTGTGCTGCTTGGGTGGCCTCCGTGAGAGGGGATGGGTGTATGGGGGGGATGCAGACCCAGCCTCGTGGCACCCTGGTAGTTTTAGGTCTGCATAAGTGTAAGCATCAGGGGATTTTGAATGACTCAATGTACAACCGCGTCTGCATAGTGATAAGAAGGGGTTGGGAGGGAGGAAGGGCATGTATACGTCTGCCTATGCTCTGGTCTGCTGCATCCGTGCCATGTCATTGGCCCCTTTTCCTAGGAACAGTCTTTCCTTGCGTCACGGAAGTGACAGAACCGCAGAAAAATGCATGCTTGTCAAGCCAGACATTGCTTTCCTCCCACCCTCCACTTCTGGTTGCTGTGTTGTGGAGACGGATTAAGTTTCTCACGCGCCAAGAGTTAAATTTAACTCCCTGCCTGGTGGTGTTAACCCAGAAAGGCAAGAGATCTTGCTCTCCTGTGCCTGTGGGGAAAAATAAATCCGGCTCCTCTAGCGCCGTTCTGGAATTGCCCAGGGCAAGGGCATGGTCCGGTGTGCACACAGTCCAGCACGAGGGGGGTCCTGGGTTTCCAAAGGCAGCATAAGCCTTAGGATCAGGTCCTGCACGGAGCTGATCTAGCCATCCCCGTACCATGCCGGACCCGGAGAGAAGCAACTGGTTTCCTGCTGCCATCCCTATAGGAACGGGAGCAGCTCTGTCCTCTCCCTGGGCACCGGATCCTGCGTGCATCTTGCCAGTGGGTTACCGCGATGTTCCCTCGCCCCTCCGTATCCAGCTGAGATCTTGGTGCTGCCCAGATCTTGGCCCAGTTCCTGAACTCAAACTGGGTCCTCCCTCCCCTGCCCAGTGGGGAGAATCCCACCCCGCTTCCTCCGGGTGGGTCTCCAAGGGGGGAATTTAACCTCCATTTTATTGACTGCTGGAAGTGGAGGCTAGCCTGAAATCCTCCGGAGGAATTTGGCCCTGGCTACAGCTGGGCCTTGGGAGGATGGATGGGGCTGTCAGCCACGGGGTGCTGCCAGGCAGAGGGGGGGGCTTTTGCTCTACCACCCCCTTCGTCCTGCTGCTAGGGGTGGGGGGCACAAACTGGCTGGCCGTGCAGCCCTGCACAGATGGACAGACCGACCTGTGCTGGGACCAGCGCTCCCTTCTCTTCGTTCTTCCCATTCCTCATACCTCTCTAAAGTTTCCCACCACCCTCTCCCCTCTCCCCACCTCGGGCAGGATCAAAGGAAGGAGCCTGCTAGTCTCCCTGGCTGAGGGTTAACCCTTCCTCTGCCACTCCACAGCCTGGCTTTGTTGGGGAAATGGGCTCCCATGAGAGAAGGTTTGGAAAGGGCTGTGGTGTGCTGGGCCCTGCCCTGGGATAGAAACCGGAGGGAGCAGACTGGTGGGGGTAGAAGGAAGCTTTGCCCGGCTCTTTCCCTCCACCCCACGGTACTTCTTCCAAAATGTTTAGCCTGGTTGGGGTAAAGACTGCTGGATGAGCCTTTGCATCGAAGGGCTTGCAGACCGAAGCACGTGCATGCATTCCCAGCTCCTATTAGCTCTGCCAGCCCCTCTCTAGTCCAGACAGACTGTTCGCTTTCTCATCCCGCTGCGGACTGGCGCCCAGCAGACAGACTTTCTTTGGGAGGATTTGCTGTCAAGGATCAAAGCCTTTCGCTCTGTTTTCTCCTCTCTTCTACCCTGAATGACCTGGAGCTCTGCACTTTCTCATGGCTGAATGGAGCATGGAGGGGGATGCAGGGCCAAGAAAGGTACTGCGGCACAGGCCTTGGAGAGAGCTGGCAGAGATTCAAAGGGGATTTTCCAAGGAGCTGGAGGGAGTTAGGCACTTGAATTCCTGCAAACTTCAACAAGTTGTACCCTGCTGAGCTAGGAGCTGCCCGTCGGGGGAGATGCTGTGTCTGCCAGGCTGGGGCTGTGGCTACAGTAGGATACTGGGCGTCCTGAGTCCAAGCTGGGCTTTTGCAGTGTGGGGTTCAGCGATCTGTGCTCTAGGGGCAATTGTGGAAAGCAGGTGGGAGTTGAAAAGAGAATCGCGAAGGTCAGGGTGGGCCCTGGGGAAGCTGCCCTACCAGCCCTGCAAGCTCCTACCTCAGCCTGTGCCTGAAAGGTTGTTCCTGATTAACTGGAGCAGCCCAGAAGCACTGCTGGGTCTCAGGCTTTCCTGGCCTTCCCTGCCCCTAGGCAACATGTTTTTGTGGCCTGGGGCTGGTTTTTGGTTTGGCTTCTGTTCCAACCTGAGCAGCAGGGCTTTGCCATGTCCTCCCAGCTGATGTCCCCAGGCTTGGCTCCTCGGCACTCATGCTCTCTCTTTCTCTCTTAACCCCCTCCCATAAGGATCATCTTCTCCACACCATTTGCCGTGATCTCCTACTTTCTGATATGGTTTGTGCCGGACGTCTCCAGCGGTCAAATGATGTGGTATCTTCTCTTCTACTGCATGTTCCAGACCCTTGTGACGGTGAGCGGTGCCATTGCGCACACTGCTGGGCTTCCCGGGTCAGGGGGAGGGAGAGGGGCAGCCCAATGGTGGAGCCAGTGACTGGGACCCCAGTGGGAGGTTTGGTATAAGCTGTGCTGAGAGTGGCATGCAACAATGGGGAAGAGATCATGGGGTACAGACTATTGCTGGACCTAGATGGAATCCACTGGCTGTGCTGGACTCCTGCAGTCCTCCTGAGCTGGCCTGTGCCCGTGCTGGCTGCTGCTCCAGTTCATGTGCCTGGCATGAGTTCTGCCAACTGGTATTGTCTGGTAACAAAGAGTTAACCCTCTCTCCCCTTGCCTTGTCTCCTTGCAGTGCTTCCATGTCCCCTACTCAGCGCTGACCATGTTCATCAGCCAGGAACAGAGCGAACGGGACTCTGCCACTGCCTATCGTAAGAGCCTTTCCCTCCTCCCTTTGCAGCCCCACTGACATCCTGTCCAGGGCCCACATGCAGTCCCTGACATCAGTGCTGTGGTCATGTTACTTTGCATGCCGATTGCCAAGACAGTTAGATTTTCCCCCTTGCGTTTGCTGAAAGCCATGGGACTCTTCAGTCTGGAAAAGCACAGGCTCAGGGGGGACCTGGTGGCGGCCTATCAGGATCTGGGGGAACACCTGTTCACCAGAGCGCCCCATGGGATGACGAGGTCAAACCATCATAAACTTCTCCAAGACCCGGTTTCAGGCTGGACATAAGGAAGAAGTTCTTTACTGTCCAAGTCCCCAAGGCCTGGAACAGACTGCTGCCGGAGGTGGTGCAAGCACCTACTCTGGACTCCTTTAAGAGGCAACTGGATGTATATCTTGCTGGGATCCTGTGACCCCAGCTGACTTCCTGCCCCTGGGGCAAGGGGCTGGTCTCGATGATCTTCTGAGGTCCCTTCCAGCCCTACTGTCTATGAATGTCCTGTCCCCCCTGCATGTGCAGGCATGCATCCGTGTGTGTGATCCCTACAGGACATGTGCAGTTGGCAGGTCACGTCCTCACCCAGAGTTGGGGGTGTATGTGCAAGCCTGAGCAGCCTGCTTGAAAAGGGTGTCCAAGCTCTTTGCTTGCATCCTGGATTGCAGCTCTTGCACCCTGTGTGTCCTTGTCCCCAAACTAGGGGGCCCTTCTAGATGCCCCAATCGAAGGGTTTTGTTGAGTAGCCTCATTTGAATTGGCAGGAGTCTGTGCCTAGCTGAGGCCTTGCCCACTCTAGGGCATTGCCACATCAAGAAACCTGGACTGGGTGCTCTGTCTCCACCCTTGCTGCTAGCCTGCACCCCCTCTCTGCTCCTCAGTCTCCCCATTGGGGACTTCTCCCTCCCAGGAGCATGGGAGCCGTGTTCAGAAAGGACTTGGAACTGAACGGCGCCACAGGAGAGCAGCACTGCTGTAGGCAGATCTTCTGCCTCTGGCTGCCCAGGCACTGCGCACAGCTTGATCCAGCTTGGGCCTCTTGCCTCCAGACGAGCTGATTTTTTTTTTTTTTTTTTGAAGCCCTCTCCCTGCCCCTATGGGCCTGAGCCCTGATGCTGGCAGTGCTGTGATGCCATGTGTGGCTCCTCTGTGCAGGTATGACCGTGGAGGTTTTGGGCACAGTGCTGGGCACAGCCATCCAGGGGCAGATTGTGGGCAAGGTGGACACCCCATGCATCCACAGCGAAGAAAAGGCTGGGATCAACTCCTCAGTGGCCATGGAAGAGGTGAACACGACCCACGACACTGGCTCACTCACGGACACGGTAGGCCTGCTGCATCTGGGCATCCTGCCCCTACCCCACTCCCATTTCCTTCTCCCTTCATCACCCTTCTCACTAGAACTCCTCCAAACTGCTTCTGCAACAGAATCCGATGTCAGGTGCTTGCACGACATGAGGTTTCTTAAGTCCTCCAGGCCCACAGACGCCTCTGTAGTCACTCGGGCATCTCATCCCTTTGCCATCCTGGCCTTTGCTTCCTCATGAGCGCTGATTGCAGAGCAGACACCAGAGGAGGCTTCAGCACGATCTGGGGTGGAGAGTGGGGCTATCTCTGCAGGCTTGACTCTGCTCCATGGGCCATGCCTGGCCTGTGGTTGCACAGCACAAGGGTACATCAGTCTGGGGTCCCCAAGGGCCATGTTGGAGTGCCCACAGTCACTGGGGTCCGTGTCTGTCTGTCTCGTGCAGAAGAACGCGTACATGATCGCAGCCGGCGTCATTGGCGGGATCTACATCCTGTGTGCCGTGATCCTATCGCTGGGCGTGCGGGAGCAGCGAGGTGAGTTCAGGGTGTGAGCTGGGCAAGGCTGAACGGGCTTGGTGGGGTGCCAGGGATGATTTCGGTGCAACGTGGCAAAGGTCATCATGCCTTCCTGAGAGGTACGTGTGCCGGAGGCTACTTCCTGGCTCCTGTTGGCAGAAAACAAGGGACACAGTGGGGACGGGAAGCTGCCTTGTGGCATGGGGCTTCTCGAGGGGGAGCAGCCCTCACTTGCGCTGGGTGATGCCACACCAGCTAGTCAGGAGGCGCCGGGGCTGCTTGCTGATGAGTTGACCCCTTTCAACGGGGCCCATTGTACTCCAAAGGCCTTTTGACTGGAGTAGCCCTTGAAAGTATGTGATGTATGTGAGCTCCCTTAGTACATACTGCTGATCAAAGAGCCGCACCCCTGGCTGCCTGCTCCCTGCTATGCTAACAACGCGTGTCCATGCTAGCCCCAGAGAGCCTTCTGCAGAAGCAGCGTCGAGCCTGTTCCAGCCGAGAATGGAGCACTTGTGGCACAGCTAAACGGGGCAAAGGGGGCGCAGGGCTCCTGGGAGGCTCTTTGCTGAAGGATGTACATCAGGGGTGGAAGACATCCTCCCCTGGCATCAGTGGGTTCTTGCCTTCGTTTCCTCCTCCGGTTCTGCTGGGGGCTGGGAGCTCTCACTACCTTCTCTCTCCTTCCATTGTGGTCTTGTCGGCTCCTGCCTCTTAGTAAGACACTGAGAGGGGAGCAGGAGCCCTGGTGATGGAGAGAGAGCAGAGCCTCAGATAGACAGCACCCCCCCCGCCTCTGTTTCTCATGCATCAGCCTCCAGTGGAAAGGCACCTTGTATTGCGGGAGAATCTGGAGGCTGCGTTGCTGCAGGATGCTGGGAGGATTTGCCAATTGTCTGGCCTTTGCAGGACAAACTTTTCCCTGCCTGGTTTTGCCTGGCAGATGTCTAGACTCCCATATGCCAGCTGGACCTGAGATTTCTCTGTGGCTGCTAGGGTAGCGCTGAATGGGACTTCTGTCTGAGCCCAGCTGTTTTTCATTGCACTCTTTGCAGGACAGTTGCTCTGGACAAGGATTAATGCTAGTAAAAAGCCCTTCTACGAATGCAGCAGGGGTATGGGGGCTGGGGACTCCAGTATCTTGATCCCCTGCCACTGACTTGAGGTGTGTGACCTTAGTCAGCACACTTAATGTATCAGGGCCTCTATCCCCCCATCTGGAAAATGGGACTAATAGTGACCCACCTCCCAGGGTGCTGAGGATGGATGCCCTGCAGCATCCAGGAAGATCAGTCTGTGGTTGGAGGGAGGTGCTGTTAGCTGAGATTCTCCCAAGAGTGAGGCAGGCAGGGTGTTTCTGTATGCGGAGTAGAGCTGTCTTGACTCTTCCCAAGCCATGGGCACACAAGAGACATGTTGTAGCCTTTGTGGCTATTACTCTAGCCTGCCTTAAATGTGTTTCTCTCTGTGTCTAATCACCCACCCGTCCTGCTTTGCTTCCCAGCAGCCTCTGAGCTTGAGTCGGATGAGCCCGTCTCCTTCTTCCAGGGGCTGAAGCTGGTAATGAACCACGGTGCCTACATCAAGTTGATTACTGGCTTCCTCTTCACCTCTCTGGCCTTCATGGTAAGGGACCCCGGAGAGCAGGAAGGCAGCTGGATGCCCAGGGGCAGCTGGAGCGGGAAGGAAGCGCACGACTTGCA